TCAGACCAGACCGGACCCCAATTTAACGTGGGCTGACCACGTACGGGTGCAGGCCCCCGCTCCACTTCTGAATGCCTACTCCGTCCGGCCCACTTACTACTCTTTCAAATCTGCTCCAATTTGACAACGAAAGCGTGATTCAAAAACTCTGATTTTTTGGGGATCTGTTAATGAAACATTCACGAGTTCGAATCCACGAACGGCGTCGACGTGGGGTTACTCGTTCACCCTGCAGATGGGCCTAAAGTTGGGGGTGGGTTTTCCCAAAAAAACGACATTTTAGTATTTTATTGTCATTCATGCTGGAAAAAGACATCAAAACTGTGTCAGCCCGATGCCCTGGACTGTTGGACATATGAACGACGAACGAAATAACATTCCAACCCTTACACTTGGGGGTGTGCCACTCCTATATCTGCCCCCCCCCTCCCTTCAGCACCAGGGGCAGTTTTCGAAACGGGACCTTTTCGGCATTCATCCTTAACGTATCGAGAACAAACATCGTGAATTTCATCGCCCTCCGATACGTGGAAGTGTTCTTTGACGAAGGGCGTTGAAAATTTGCAGGCTGTTCCACACCCCCAAAGAGCGCCTATGGGGAGCAGGGTATGGGTCATGGCATTTTCTGGATCAGAGGAGTCCAGAGAATGCATTGAGTCCAAAATCGAGACCATCGTCCAAAAATTGTGGATTTTAGAGGGGGTTGGTTTGTCCGAGAGGGAATTCAAGGAGTGCATTTTGTAGAGGGCATCAAGGAAAGTCGCCCCAAAGGTTTTTCTGAATTTTTCAACCCCTTCCGTCATCCCTGGCCTGTTTCAAAGAAGCGTTTTTGTACACCCTCCCCTTTAGGGGGGTGAATTAACCCCTTTGCATCAACCCTCGCCAATGTAACTTTACACACCCCCAGAGGATACTACAAAACTACTCCTCACGGAGTTTAATTTCAATCGGTTCAAAACTTCCATGTTTTTGAACCGTTTAAAAATTTGTCCGCTAAGTTTTGATCGTTAGTGTATATGTATTAATAATGACATAAATATTAATAACTATTAATTATGGTATAATCTTAAAAAGTATGTGTCCACATATATGTGTATAAAACATATAAAACAATGTCAAATCTCCTCCAGCGGCTGAGAAACGCTGTTCTACGATATATGATACTTAATAAGTTGTTACAAGTAAATATGTTGCGAATGACGTCGTGTTTGGTCTCGTTTTAATCAGAAAAATGTCAGAAATATGATATGGTGGCAAAAGTTTTAGAATGTATACAATATCCTAAAAGAATGACCGTGTTTGAAGTTTGTTTATAACAATCCTGAATGTGCAATATTTATGGCTTATACGTTGGTCGAAAGAGCATACTATGAACCAGACTTCTAGCAATTTTCACGAAATATCTCGATCCATATAGGAAATACAGGGTTGGTCTTTGAGATATAGACTATAAAGTCTTAATTAATAATAGTTATTATTATCCTAATTACTGTTGCAGTAGCCCTTCCAGATGTTACCAGATTTGATTGAAGAAAGGAGAAACTTTTCACCTTACCTTGGGTCAGAGTTTTCCGATGTCATCTATTATTCCAATAAAATTTTCCCCTCTCCGGTCAAAGTCAATTTTCTTCAATCGTTTCCACCTATCGCTACTTTCGTTCCGCGTATTTCCAGTAGACAATTTCTTCTGGAAAAGCTCTCTTTCGCCTTTACCGCCACTACCGAACGCGGAACATACCTATCGGCCAGGGACTGTAAAGTTCCCAACCTGCGACTACAGCGAGCTTCCCACTTATGTATAGCGATGTATTATAGTCATAGACGTTTTGCTAACCGTTCACCATCGGCATTCAACGCCTCCAGCAAGGCCTTAGTATGTACAACGAAACCGTACTGAAACTTAAGCAGGATTTCCACATGTAAATTCGACGCCAGTTTACTGGCGCCATTAATTATGGCAAAGCAAAGAACAGGTGTTCTTGATTGCAATCACACTCAGTTCAAGAATCAAGTTCGAGAATTTTTTTCAAAAATTTGTTAAAAGTATTGAGAAATTCAAGTAGGGTATTTCATTAACTGCATAATAGTGTGTAAAAACACAATTTTTTTATACGTTTTTCTTCTAAAATGGCGGCTTTAGAAGCTGAGATTTCGAAACACCTTTTACGCGGGGCCTCAAACAGGTTCCCCAAAATAAGCTGAGTTCGAGAATTCTTTTCAGAAATTTGTTAAAAGCAGTGAAAAATTCAAGTAGTATACAAGACTCTCGGTCACCATCAGGTTTGACGCAGTAAATCAACCAGCAATAATGTTTATTTAAGTTTAATTTCATTTCATCGAAGTGTCAATGAAATCATTGTCGAAGGAGTAAATAAGTAAGGAGTAAGCTCGTCGGCAAACATCACAGAATGTTCGAAGTCTACCATAAATGCACAAAGTCAGTCCCCGAGCTTGTGCAGTTATCGAGACATTACTGTATCATTAATTAAGACTTGATTCTCAAATCTCAAATTAGAGATCTCATCTTCGAAATCAATCTGAGCTTACCATCCGTGCCGATAGAATGCTAATAAAGCATAACGAGTTCCTGGTAGACACAAAAAAATACGCCTCGAGTGCAAATGGTTAATGCACACGGATCGTTCCATCGCTAATCTGCATTCACACCACGAATTCCAGCCCACCTTCTACAGTTAACAGTTATTTCTCCGCTAATTGACTAGTTGCGTCTCTGCAGCTGAACCATCATGCAGCGTGGCTCAAATTAGCCGAAATGAAGTTAGAAACTAGCATGTAACCGCACCTATGTCGCGTGTTTGTCGAGCGACAGGGGTTTCAAAACAGCATTTATGGTCGACCCATGATGCCCTGGCCGAAAAGAAAAATGAATATCCCCCTCCTCCCTCCACCCGCGTCTCATGTAGCTTGTAGCGTTCCGGCGCGTTTAACAAAGTGACAATTTACGCGAAATGGAGGGAACGTCTGTGCGCAGTACCCTCCTTATTAATCTCTTGATTGGTCGTCGTTTTATACACGCGGAATACGCTGGAGGCCAAAGCAGGACTACCAGGAGGTAGAGCTGAACACCGTCGTCCCGTCACACCCACGAATAGCGTGCCGCGTACACATTATCTGCATCATGTGCGAGAGCATGTACGGAGGCACACATCTGCCGGTACACTCCGGCTCGCGGTTATGGTTGGCTAGGGTGTTTCATAAAACGTGGACCTATAACACATTCTTGACCTGGAAGCGGTCTACCAACCTTGGACTGATTAAAGATTGCTATGTACGATATTTTTCTATCGTGATTATCCTGTTTTTAACACTCGATTTTTAATTTTAACTCGGATAATTGTAAGTTTAAAGATAACCGATTGATAATATTTAGGTCTGGCCACTGTCTCAAGTTTTTTGGAGAAATTTTAATTTAATAGGATTATCTTGCACCTCGAAGAGTGTTCGACAATTTCGATAGTTTCAGCCTGAAACTTTCAGGTAAAAATTACATAACGATTACAGAGTTTTCCGTACGTCGCAGTGAAACAGCATACGTACGCGAAAGCGACAAAACTTTTCCGCGAACCTAATAGAGTGGCTCGTGATATTATGGCAATACTCGCTGTCGGACGGTTCTCGTTTGCACGAAATATACACGGAGCTTTCAGTACGCGGCTACATTATTTTTGAGCAGCGTACAGGTAATAGCGTATTACGGCGAATCATGACCATGTTAAAATATCATACGTTGCGCCGTGATATATTAAATTTGCCGCGCAGCCTAACGCCGTTCATATTTTCATTCCTGCTGACGACCTCGTGAACTATCTTACCCGCATTCGGAGTTGAACCGGAAGCCAGACACTCCGCATTGTGCTGAGTGTTATCGTTTCGAAACGGGGCGTAAGATGGTGCGCGTGAAATGATATGACGATGACGATGGGAGAATGAGGAGGTTACGAGGACCATGTTAGGATGTGACGATGACGATGTGAGGACGTGACGATGTGACAATGAGGATATGACGATGATGATGTGAGGATGTACCGATGACGATGTGAGTATGTAACGATGACGATGTGAAGGCGTGAGGACATGACGATGTGACAATGAGGATGTGACTATGATGATGCGAGGACGTGACGATGTGACAATAAGGGTGTGACGATGGCGATGTGAGGATGTGAGGATGTGAGGATGACGATGTGAGGACGTGACGATGTAGCAATGAGGATGTGACGAGGACGATGTGAGGATGTAACGATGACGATGTGAAGATGTGACAATGTAAGGATGTGACGATGTAACGATGCGAAGACGTGACGATGTGACAATGAGAATGTGACGATGACGACGTGACGATGTGATGATGTGATAATGACGATCTGACGATAGCGACTTGCGGATATGACGATGTGTCAATGACGGTCTGACGATAGCGACATGGTGAATAAATGACGATTGGGTAAATAAATGACGATATAACCAGATATCGTTACAAATGAACTGACGAAAAGGCGATATGGCAATATAACATGAAATGTAACGAAATCACAATACGATCACATAGCAATATGATGATATAAAAATATGACAAGTAAACTATACCTATGATGAGCAATCATGCGAAGGCTGTTTGTTACTCGTATGATAATCGTTTCAACTTCCTGCAATTAATTCCAGAACAAAGCCGTTTCGAAAATTCGAACTATGAGAAAATATCGAAGAGAACATAAAAGGACTTGCGAGCAGCTCCATTCACCTTAGTCCATCGAGCAGCCACGTGAACTGAAAATAAAATCGCACCTCGCCAAGGGGAACTCGGTGTGCTACTCAAAAAATGTTTCCGCGTTTATGCGCACTATTGTAACGGGGCTATTGTAAACAGGCCGTAATATTACAAGCGGCGAAGTTGTGATGGTCTTATTTACTTTGTAAGCACGGCGGCACTAATAGCGCGCGGTGTTAATTATGGAGACGTCCAAAGCAGCTTGAAAGAACGGTGTTTTCATTATTATAAATACCACGATGAAACTTCGGCATCACGACAATGTTAAATTGAAAATGGAGTTGATCAAATTTGTGTAAATATTACAGTAACTTTCAAACGCGATCAAATGTAGAAAATGACAAAGCATTTTTAAGTTATTTCCTTTTTCCTTCAATACTTTCTTGTAGTTTTTCATGGGGATATTCTATTTTTCAATGATAACTTCTTGAGTCCTCCACTTTTTCATGTAGTTGGTGTAATTTTTTTAATTTTTTAAAGTTTTTATGGGGATTTCCTTTTTCCTTCAATACTTCCTGTCACTTTTGTTTTAACCCTTTTACTCCTAAGGCCACCTGTACTGGCCAGACACTTGAAGGCGTTCTACTCCCATGGCCAGTGTCACTCCCCACAATTTATCATCAAGTTTTAATAAGCGATGGGTGTCTAAATTCAATTAGTTACAAGATCGATACTCATAAGCAATAGCGTTAAAAAAACACGTTATATTCATTTGTTTCAAGCAACTTCATATAAATAATCAAATGAAGGACAATATTTCCATTAAACTATTATTATTCGTGTATGATTTATGTTTGTAAAATTCTAAAAAAAATCGCATAATTTAACAAAATGGAAAAACGTTTTCCTGGCCATTGCATAATTCCGAAATCCAAGAAAAATGGTCTTGCCAAATCGCTAGGAGTGCAAAGGGTTAAAATACATTGTTTAAAATGAATAATATCCTATGCCCAATGTATGTAGTCCATAGTCACCCTTTCCACGTTTGACCATCATTCTCCCAAACCATATTCTATACGTGTCTTTTCCTAGGTTAGGTCCACACCTGCCAAACCTTTCCCAAGGTGATACGCGAGCAGGATACGTTCCCAAAGCTCCGACTAAATAATAACGATCTCCTCCGTTACAGAGTGTCATCCAGACCGTAGCCGGGCGCTCTTTAGTCACCATTAACGGCTAACAACGCGGCACCGCTTGTATCCCCGGCGCCTTCAGCTCCCTCCGTCGGGGGCGCGGACCGATAAGTTCAAGAGGTCGCGTAGTAGCTTCTATGGGCAGCGGTTGGACGAAAATATGAGCACCGCTGGGGTTCGCCATGTTAGCTACCATGCCGTTGGTTGAGCTCGGGACGAAGCTGTTTCCGGTACTGGAGGGCAGACCAGGTATATCTATATGCCGTATATATACTAGCTGTACATATATACACGCGCGTATGTACTTGATGTATATATACATATACCATAGCTTGCAGGCCTTCACCCTCGTTCAGCCCACCTCAGCCACCCCGTGGATCTCCCCCTTCGTACCACTACGCTCTGGGGGCCGTTAGTGGGCTGGGGGGAGGGGAACCCGAGGGGTGAGGGGGAGGGGTAGAGAGGTAGAGAGGCAGTCAGCGTGGAGGGTGAGAGAACGGGTAAAATGGCCGCTCCCGACCTCTAGGTGGATTCATGGTATCGCGGAAGACCTTCTGCGCTCCTCCTTCATCCCTGGACTTAAGTCCAGGGACCTTCGAGGACACCGAGCGGCGGCGTGATCTCGCGCGAACCGCTGTCAGGCGGTATCGAGAACCTGTTGTACGGGAACAGTCGATACTCGCGGGACGGCCAACTTCCGGCTAAGAATCCTCGCCCGATCTGTTCGCAACCCCTGTTTCCAAGGGGGTTGGTTAATCTGGATTTCGGCCAGTGTTCCGCTCCGTTGCGCTAAATCGTCGAGTGCTTGACGAGGAGTCGACGAGGGGGAGGGATATTTAGTTATGAATGAGGGATGCAGCGAAGGTGACGTATGGTCCGTTTTTAATGATGGAGGTGACGTTCAAGGGAGGAAGTAGGTGTATTTCTTGTTGTGCTGGCTTGGAAATGAGCCGTTCATTGCGTATATCGCGTATATTGCGTATATTGAAGCCATAAAAATATATTTATAATATATATATAATGAACTTTGTTTTTTTTTTAAATTCCCTTTGTAATATAAATTCAAATAAATATTGAAAAGAGTTCTTTCCCTTTCAGGAAAGTTATTATAAATAAAAAAAGTGATGACTATATTAAGTGATTTGATACTAAAATTTAAGATTTTTCAAAGGTTTCATAAAAAAAAATGTTGAGAAATGCGATAAAATATCAAATGTGATGACTATACCAAGTGGCTTGACACTTAAATTTAATATTTTTCAAAAGCTCCATAAAACAAAAAGTTGTGAAATGCAATTGAATATAAAAAGGGATGACTATACCAAGGGTTTTTCACTTAAGATGTTTCAAAAGTTCCATAAAACAACAAGTTGAGAAATGCGATGAAATATAAAAAGGGATGACTATACCAAGGGTTTTTCACTTAAATTTAAGATGTTTCAAAAGTTCCATAAAACAACAAAATGAGAAATGTGATAAAATATAAAAAGTGATGACTATACCAATTGTTTTGACACTAAAATTTAAGATAGTCAAAGAGTGTAATTAATCGATTTGTGCAGTAAACGGTTCAAATTAGTGTACGTACTTCGTAAAACTACTGAAGCCTCTTTATAAAGAGATGAAGACAGTTGCTGATGGCTATACACTTGACATACTGGGTACTTAATATTACTCATAAATCACCATCTGTCATGCACAATGCTTTCAGAGCTTTCGAAGTGATATATATCGATAGTCCTCCACTGCTCTGGATTTTCAAAGCCAGGAAGCTCATTAAAGAAAATGGACGGGAAGAATTAGCGAACGCAAAGCGCTATCTATATCGCTCTAATTTCCATGAAGTCAAAGGGTCCGCGTGATCGGCCGTGGCTGATACTCGCATGCCTAATTGCGAATCCGCGTCCGATCGAATCGACTAGGGATCCATCTACGCTCGATCGATACCGCTTAGCAATTACGGAATTGACAACCCCTTCAGCCGCGAAGATGTTAAATAACCGATAATTGAGCTGCGCTTATAAAATCTTCATTACGCGCCGACACTGTAATAAAATCGCTCACGCAGTAATTTCCAGCTCCTCGATTTACCCCATTTTCGCTCAAGGGGGTGACCCGCCCTTCTGCTCTCCAAGGGAGAAAGAGGATGAAAGAGGATGGACACGAACTGCGAGGGGATCGAAACAATCGTGTTATCATATTGTTGAAACTGTCTCGTTACTCTTGACGCGCTCACCGAGTTTTCGGCCAGTAATTAAAGCGACTTCCACGTTTTTCCTGAGTAGGTACTTGATCATACGCGAGTCTGCTCGCGCGTGGAAATTACTGATCGTCTCTGTCTTTAGGCGCCGGAGGTTTTCAAAATTCAGTAATTATTTCGTGTATGGGACGTAAGGGGTGGTTTAGGAGTTGACATTCTGTTCATTTAACACGTTCACGCCGGCGCGGTGAGGCGGCGCTCGATTTCACTGCCCGCGAGGTGGGGCGGCGCGTCACCAGGTTGCACTGTTCAGCGCAACGTATGACTCACCGGTGATACACGCCGCCTCGTGGAGCAGACAACCTTGACCCACCGGTGATACAACCCGCCCCACGGACCAGATACGATTGACGATGATTCAAGTCGTTGTGAACGTGTTAATGGGATATGCAAATAGGAACTGTTAAGCATTTCATTTTGCTGTAGATAGATAATAATTCTATTTTGTGGACGTTTCTATTTTTATCTTTGTTCATTACTCTTTAAAGACATCAACATTATTTTGACAAACCTCAACTATAAAATAGTGTTCAGTATGATGTTCTCTCATAATGGTGTCGTAATGGACCTCAAAAATGGTGTTCTATTGTTATTATTATAGTGTTCCATTACTCTTTAAATTCAGAGAGGAACTTAAAAATAATGTTCTTCTTTAGCGAAATACATAAGATGTATTTATCATTTTTCATGTACTTAGCCACCATTCTGTCTCCTGGAAATTGTTATCCAGGTTTTTTAACCAATAAATAATATGAAAACGTATCTACCAGAACTGCACCTTGTCATTAAAATTTAAACAATTTTTTTACAACTTTATCGACTTATGGCAACGTTTAACCCTCGACCTAGACTTCTGGCAATAACTTTGCGCGATTTTTACAATTAAAAGCTATAACTACACAAAATTTTAGGACTCCACTCAAATATTTCATTTTGATTAAAAATTAACGTGTTTGACCACCCGCCCATGCTTCCAGCCCCGGGAACGACTTCTGGCTGCAGTGCTATGGGGTTTGTCATCTAGTAAGCAGTGTTTTTAGATACAAATTTTCGCTACACCTTATCATTCCTGATTTTCGTAGCCAGCTTTTAGACTATATATAACTGTCGCCAGACGGTGCTTCCTATTTTCTCAAGAATATTTTGAGGGGTTTATATTTGCCACCCCTTCCGCCGTTCCCAAGCCATGTTTACTTTAGGTGTGTATATATTTATAATACAAAATTTTTATGGAAACATGAAACCAATCATTTAATTTGGACA